CGGGGCGCAACGCGGCGCTCGCGGGCAGCCGCGCAACGCCGGCTCACGCGACCGCGACTGCACGCTCACGCCGCGGTCTTCGCGGGAGCTTTGCTCGATGATCTGCGCCGGCGGCAGCCGCGGGCGCGCGCGGAAGGTCGCGCCCCAGAATGCGCGTCGACGACGAGATCTGCATCGCCAGGCAGGACCTCTTCGATTCATTTGACGGCAGCGGCCCCCTGAAGCTGGAGAGCTTCGACATCGCCAGGAGGTCCGCACTGGGTCTTGCCAGCAGGTGCCAAAGCACGTGCTACGGCGCAGGGATACGCGCATCGACGCGGTGCCGCCCGGGCACTGCAAGCCCCTCGACGCCCCTCGGCAAGGGCGCCGTCGCGGCCGCGCTGGAGGCGGCCCCGACCACGGGCGACCAGTAGCCCGTCAGCGCGGCAATCGCCGGACACGCCAACATGAGGGCAGGCCTTCCAGGCAGCCGACAACATGTTCGCGGATGACCAAGAGGACGCGCAAAGCGACGCCTTGGCGATCCCCGACGGCAAGCACACGACTTTTAAGGCCACGACGTAAAGTCGGACGCATCGATTCCCTTGAAGTGTCCTAGAGTCCAGTACCATCTGCTACAACGCTGGGATCAATGCCCGCGATGCGAGACGGGCGAGCAGGGGCAGCAGGCCCACGCGCTGCTTGGCAAGCCGATGCGAGAGGGAGTCGCGCGATGCCCAGGCCTCGTGCGACATCCAGGCCTCGCGCGATATCCTGGCCTCGGGCGAGACCCAGGCCTCCCACGACATCTAGGCCTCGCACGATATCGAGGCCTCGTGGACCTCGGGAAGCAACCGCGCGGAGCCTCGCGGAGTTCGGCGACAGTCCGCCCCGGCGCAGCTCAACGGGCTGTTGCGAGAGAGGCTGGAGGCCAGCTTCATCGTCTGAGAGGTCACGAAGATCTCGTAGCGCGGCCTACTGACGCGGTCCTTGTAAGCGGCGGCCACCCTGGAGCGACAGCGCCGAAGGGGGCGGCCGCCGCGAGGATCTCGGACGGGAGCCGTCTACGTCGAGCGCATTCCAGCGCGTGCGGCGCTAGACGAGCGGGCCGCGGCCGCCGGCCCCGGCGCCGAGCAGGGAGCTGTTGCGAGCAAAAATTAGAATCCAGCGTCATCCGCCATACAACGCTGGGACCAGCGCCCACGATGAAAGACGGTCGCGCCGAGGCGGCAGGCCATAGCGCCTCTCGGCGAACTGCAACGCGAGGAAGCCGGAGACCAGCGTCAACAGCACAACGCAAGGATCAGCACAGGCGACGCGGCACGGGCGAGCCGCGACAGCAGTCTCATGCGCGGCGCAGCTGCGACAGAAGCTGGAGGACAGCGCCATCGGCCGCGACACGGGGATCAAATCATGCACGGCGAGATGGGCGCGCTGCGGCAGCAGGCCCTTGCGCGGCTCAGCGAGCGATTGCAAAAGAAGCCAGAGACCAGCGCCATCCGCTGGGGCGAGCCGCGGCAGCAGGTTCCAACGCTGATCAGCAAGCAGCTACAAGGGGGAGCTGGGAACCATCACCATCAGCCACAACGCTGGGACAATGCCCGCGATGCGTGGTTGGCTCGGGCGACGGTGTTTCCTAGAGGGGAGGGGGCAGGATTTGCCCCCTCCCGCGGTCGGCGCGCCGTCCGCTCGACGTCTGTCCGCGCGCTGCTCGCGAGCTGTTGCGAGAAGAAGCTGGGGGCTGGCGTCGCCAGCTACAGCGCCGGGATCGGCGCCTGCAATGCGAGAGAGCCGAGACGCCGCGGCAGGCCTCGTGCTTCCCTGCGGACAAATGCGAGAGCGCGCTGGAGACCAGCATCATCAGCTACAACGCTGGAAGCAGCGCCTGCGCTGCCAGGCAGACGAGACGCGGCGGCGGGCTTCGGCGCGGCTCAGCGAGCCACTGCGAGCAGAGGCTGGAGACAGTCGCCATTGGCGGCGACGCTGGGATCAGCGCCCGCGGCATGAGACAGACGCGCCGCGACGGCAATCCCCGACGCTGCCCAGCGAGATGTTCAGCGAGCGACAGAGGAGAAGCGAGGGGCCAGCACCATCAGCGGGGCTGGCGCCTACGACGCGGGACAGGCGCAACGGCGGCAGGCCCCCGCGCCGCTCGGCCAGCCGCCGCGAGAGGGAGCTGGGGGCTAGCGCCATCAGCCAACGCGGGGGCAGATGGGGCAGCCGCGCGCCGCGGGTCGGGCCTGCGACACCCAGAGGGGGTCGGCGATGCGCCCGCGCGGAGGTCGGGCTGAGGGCGCGAAGGTAGCGCGCCCGCCTGCGCTGGCCGCAGAGCTGACTTACGCGCAGAGCGCCGCCAGAGGCGCAGCGCAGCCCCATCCCGGGGCGACTGCATCGCCCCGGGCGGCCTCCCTGCGCAAGAGGGCGCCTCGCCGGGAGCGAAGGCAGCTCCGTGGCCCCGCGGCCTGAGCCTCGTCGACGGCCTCGACGCCAGCGCCAACGCCAGTTTCGAGACGGCGGCGCCGCGGCCTCGCCAACGGCCTCGCCACTGGCTTCGCCGACAACTTCGCACACAGCGTCGAGCGGAAGCTCGCCGCTCGCGGACCTGGAGCTCCTCGGCAGCGCGAGGAGCCGCCGCCGCCGCCGGCCGCGGCCCCGGCGGCCACTGGCGCCGCTGTGCGAGCGCAGCAAAAGCGCGCGCTCCCCGCCGCCGACGCCCGAAGCAGACATCACGCCAGGCCCTGCGATCGCGATCGCGTGGCACAGCAGGGGCCACGCGAGCTCGGCGCGCGACGGGCAGCCCGAAGAACGGCCGCGCTGTCAGATCACGCCGGGGGCCCCGACGGCCCCGAGACCGCGCAGCTTCGCCGACGCGCCACGCGCTGGCAGGAGAGCGGGGCGCCGCGCGGCCCAGGGGCGCGAACAGAGCCAGCGGCGGCGGAGCCCCGCGCAACCCGGCGGGGGGGGCCGCCGCGGACGGTTCCGCGAACCCGGCGCTCGAGGGGCAGCTGACGGGCGGCCGCGCGCTGTCACGCCGCGCCGGAGGGAGGAGACGCGGAGGGCTCCGAGACCGTGCCCGCCAACAGTTCCGCCGATAGAGATCAGCGCCGGGGCCGAGCGGCGCGGCGAGAGCGGCAAGCTCCGCGGCTTCATTTTCGCGGCTCCGCGAGCCGCGGCACCCCGTCGCCCGGCGCAGGGCGGCCTGGCTCGCCAAAGAGCCGGCCGCCATCGGCGGCCGCGGGGCCAGCGGGGGGCGCCCAGCCTTCGAGGCCGCTGCTCCAGACGCGCGCCGACCCCAGCACGGGAAGCAGACTTGGCAGGCCCCGTGGCGCCACCCCCGCGGCTCCGCGAGCCGCGTCCTGCCGCGGCGACGCGGTGGGCCCAGGGCCTGGGCGGCTCCGACCTCCCGCGCTCGGGGGGGCGCCCCCCGACCCCGCGTTCCTTATCTGTGAAGCCTGCGGCCCCCTTGGCGGGAGTGGGGATTGGGGTTGCTGGTGCTTGAGAAGGGCCAGGGGAGGGGCCCTTGAGCCACCCTCCCCCCTTGATCGGCCGTTCGGAGTATTCCCCCGCCCTGAGCTCAGGGGCCGTCGACCGATCGCCCTGGGTCGCGCCCCAGGCGGGGTTCGGCGGCGGCTCCCGAGCAGAGAGGAGTGCCGAGCGGCATCCCGGCGCGCCTCTGGGAACGTTTTGGCCCCCCACCCGGCGGGCGCCTCTACGGGGCCCTTCCCGCCCGCGGGCCCTCGCCCGTGCGCCGCGGGAGGGGGCGGGAGCCCATGGCGGGAGGAGCCCCAACCGCAAAGGGCGCGGCTTCGAGGCCGCGCCCTCGCGGCCTTGCGTGCAGCGGCATTCTGGCGCGTTTCCGGGATTGTTTTGAGCCTCGCTTTCTGGCGGGCGCCGCCACGGGGGGGCCTCCCTTCCTGCCCGCGGGCCCCCATCCTTCCGCCGCCGGCGGGGGCGGGAGTCCAGGGTGGGAGGAGTGCCCAAACGGCGGAAGGCGACGTCTGCCCTTGCACACGCGGGCGGCGCGGCATGGGCGGAGGTGGCGGTGCCGAGAGAAGTGGGGAGGTGGAGCGAGGCGAGGTCGGATTGGATTCCGACGGTCGCAGCGTCCAGGGGGGGGCCGGGATCCGCCCCCTCACCTCCCGCGTTTTCCCCTTTCTTGGCGTCTCAGTGCCATCGTAAAAGTGGGGGCAGCAAATTCCTGTGAGTGGCATGGCGCTCTGCGCAGCACACGCGGCTCCTGGTACCGCAAAGAGACATCACCGTCATTCCCTGCCTCATATTTTGCACCACCGTCGCGCTGCTATCAGAGCCCTGCGATGAGACGCCCCCGTGTGCCAGCACGTAAATGTATCCTCCTCTTCTGCCCGACATGTGCTGCCGTTGGGGCCCAGGCGCTCGGCCGACTTGAACAACCCACCCACCACCCTGGGGCATCACGTTCCTGGGGGCGGCAGAGCCTTTGCGCAGCGCACAGCGCTCCTGGCACCGCCACCCTCAAAAAGAGACACCACTGCCACTCCCAACTGTTTAAGTCGGGCACGCCCCTGCTACAGGACGAATATTTGAAATATTCCAGAAATAGTGTGGGGACTATTTGTGTACTATTTGGACATTGTTAGGATATCTTTGAACAATTGCAAAAATATGTTTTCCAAAATCCGCTTGTAGGAGGACACGCCCGACCTAACCCTACCCTTTTTCACGCCGCCATCGCACCCGTACGCGGGTTTTGCGAGTAAGCCATATCATGACAACGGTACGCCCGAAGATGTCCAGGATATCCCAAACTCCCGATTGCTCCGCGCGGGTTCCAGAAGCGGGGGCCGCTAACTAGGTACTCCTTGGAACTTTTGGCACGCATCTTGAGCCAATCTAACCATGACACCGTCCTCGTCCTGTGAACCCCCAAGCCTTCCCCCAGGACCGGTCTTCTCGTGTCGAGCCATTCTCGAACAGGCCGGGTGCCCGTGGAGGGCCGAGGGAGCCGGGCGGGCGGCAACGGAGGGGCAGTGTAAACGCGGGGGGATCGAGGATGGCAGGCATGCGGCTTGCCATGGCCCCTGAGCTGCCACCGCGGGCCGGACGGGTGCGCGACGGGCGCACGCTCCTTCGCCCCATGGCTAGTTACGGCTTTCCCGTGCACGAACACCCGACGGAGGCCAGGAACTGGCTGAAAATCTTGAGGGGCCCGTCCCCCTTCAGCGCGCAGAAAGCATCTGTACACCACCACCGTGCCAGGCCGGGGCCATCCTGGGCCCCAGCATGGCGCATACGCCCTCCTGGCCGAGCCAGGAGGGTCTACACTCAGGAGGAAAAGAAACACACAGACACAATTAATCCTCGATTCCCCAGAAAATATGGGAAAATATGGGAAGTGGGGTGGAAGACAGAAACCCAGAAAATATGGGAAAATATGGGGGATACTTTTATTTGTGTGTATTTATTTGTGTGTCCCAGTTCCCCTTCATACACACCATCCTGGGGCCCAGGATGGCCCTGGCCTGGCACGGTGGTGGTGTACAGATGCCTTCGCCCCGCTCAGGACACCCGCCTGCTCCACGGCTGCGCGCCTCTCCCCCCCTCGCCGCCGTCGCTGGAGCGTAAGCCCCTGGGGGCCGGGGCTCGTCGACTCCCGGCGGCCCCCTGGCGTCTCCGGCGGCGCGCGCCGCGCCTGGCGAGGACGGAGAAGTAGGACCTTGTAGTCTCGCGTTGCGAAGGCCTCACGGCCAGCGCCGCCGACCCTGAATGACGACGACGACGACGACGACGACGACGACGACGACGATGACGACGACGACGACGACGACGACGAGCGCTCTCGGGTGCCTCTTGAGGATAGATTGGGGCCTCTCGGGAGGCTCTTGGGGGGGCCGCTTGGGGGCCTCCTGGGGGGCCTCTTCAGGGGGGGTCCTGGGGGGTCTCTTTTGGGGGCCTCTTGGCGCGCGCCACGCCTGGCGAGGACTGCAAAATAGGACAATGTATTCCTGTATCGGGGGAGCGTAAGACCCGGGTTTGCCAGGACTCGGGTTCGCCATCGTTTTTTGACGACCGCGCCTCGGATTTTGACGAGGAGGAGTTTCGTGGGATGTCTGCAGCGGGAGGCCTCGTCAAAATGCAGGCTCAGCCTCGTCATTTTTTTGACGACCTCGTCGGGGATGTCCGAGTCCCCTGTACCCAGGTCTTACGTCCCCCTGACTGTATTTCTGGTTTTCCTCAGCGTACTTTCACTAGCCAGCCGCTCCGCGGTTGATCTGGAGTTTCCGTATATCGAAGAGAGGGCGCGCTTCTCGGCGAGAGGACCATGATCGAGATGAAAATGAGCGTTAGGATCAGGAGGGCGAGGATAGCGAGGGGGAGGATCAGGAGAGGGAGGGTCACGCGGGCGAGGATCAGGCGAGCGTGGAGCAGGAGGGTGAGGACGTGGAGAAGGAGGGTCAGGAGAGCAAGGATGGCGATAATGAAAATCAGGAGGGCGAGGATCGGGTGGGCGTGGAGCAGAAAGAGGATCACGAGAAGAGAGGGGATCTGGATAATGAGAAAGAGGAGGGCGAGGAGCAGGATCGCGAAGCAGGAGGGTGAGGATGAGGATGAGGAGAGCGAGAATCAGGAGGGTCAGGAACATGAGGAACAAGAGGCGCCTTGCCTGTCCACGACCAAGTTTGGCCCAAAAATGCCACAAGAAGCCATCGAGAGGCCTGCTCCTCCTCGTCCTCCTCCTCCTCCTCCTCGAACCCAGCGCGTCGGCTGAACGGTAGGTCCCGACAGGCTTCTACCATTGACCTTGACCGTGCAGGCATCGAGTCCCTCCCGCTCCCATGCTCACAACCTCCTCCTCCTCCTCCTCCTCCTCCTCCTTCCTCCTCCTCCTCCTCCTTCCTCCTCCTCCTCCTCCTCTTCCCCCTCCTCTTCCTCCTCCTACTCCTCCACTTCCCCTCTCCTCCTCCTCCTCCTCCTCCTCCTCCTCCTCCGCCTCCTCCCTCCCCCTCCTCTCCTCCTCCTCCTCCTCCTCCTTCCCCCTCCGCTTCCTCCTCCTCCCCTCCTCCTCCTCCTCCTCCTCCTCCTCCCTCTCTCCTCCTCCCCCTCCTCCTCGTCCCCCTCGTCCTCGTCCGTCCCCCCCCCTCACGCTCCCCCCTTCTCCTCCTCCTCCTCCTCCTCCTCCTCCTCCTCCTCCTCCTCCTCCTCCTCCGCCTCCTCCTCCTCCTCCACCTCCTCCTCCTCCCACCCTCTTCCTTCCTCCTCCTCCTCCTCCTCCTCCTTCTCTCCTCCTCCTCCTCCTCCTCCTTCTCCTCCTCCTCCTCCTCCTCCTCCTCCTCCTCCTCCTCCTTCTCCTCCTCCTCCTCCTCCTTCTCCTCCTCCTCCTCCTCCTCCTCCTCCTCGTCCTCTCTTCCAGAATTCGTCGCCTGATTCGCTGGATTTCCTGCTTCTCGTGGGGGAGGCTCCAGGGGCAGTTTTGGCTGAGGATGTCCCACGCGACGGCGCCGGTTGGAATTCGTCGCCAGATTTCGCCGGATTCGCTGGATCTCGCCTGAAACGGAACAGGGGGGCCTCTGAGGGCCTCCTTGGGGAGGCTCCAGGGACAGTTTTTCTGAGGACATCCCACGCGAAGGCGCCAGTTTGGAATTCATCGCCGGATTCGCCGCATTCTCCGGATTTCCTGGAGCTCACCTGAAGTGGAACAGGGGGGCCACTGAGGGCCTCCTTGGGGAGGTTCCGGGAGCGTTTTTTCTGAGGATGTCCTACGCGAGGGCGCCGGTTTGGAATTCGTCGCTGGATTTGCCGGATTTCGCCGGATTCGCCAGATTTCCGGGAGCTCGCCTGAACCGAAGCAGAGGGGCCTCTGAGGGCCTCCTCGGGGGGACTCCGAAAGCGGTTTTTCTGAGGCTGTCCCACGCGAGGGCGCCAGTCTGGACCGGATTTCGCCGGACTCGCCGTGTCGGCGCGGCTGCGACCTCGCCGCGGGCGTTCGAGGGTGCGCGCCGCCAGGGGCCCAGAGTCAGCGAATCTGAAGCGGTCCTGCGGTCGAAGAGCTGCCGATCCTTCAAGCGTGGACGATCCGCGCGATGCCAGAAGCCAATCGCCGGGGCCGCGGCGACACGAGCGAGGGAGGGACGATGCTCGGAGAAGGAACGACGCCACTGCGGCAGAGGGCCCGAAACAGCTGTGCACTGGGGTGGAGCACGGGGGGCACAACCCTGAGACCTGGGCGTTCCTCCGTTCCCGCTCGCGGCTGGCGCTGGCGCCCCCTGTGGACCCGGCTCGAGAGATGGCGGCAGAAAGACGGGGGCGGGGGCTCCGGCCACGGCTCCTCGCGGTGTTGTTCTCCTTGTTCGGAATGTAGCAAATCCCGAAGGGTTGCCAATGGCGCGCTCTTCTGCCTACGCGTTCTTCCGGATGCTTGGCTCTGTGGTGGTGGTGGTGGTCGACAGGGGAGGAGGAGGAGGAGGAGGAGGAGGAGGAGGAGGAGGAGGGCGCTTTGATCGGGGGTGGCCGGACCTCCTAACCTGACACGTCGATGGAGGACTTGGCCGTTTCCGGCTCGCGAGAGGGCGAGTCGCGGCCGTCCTTTTTGTTGCGGGTCCGGGCCCGTCGGTTTCGGTCCCTCAGGCCGTTTTCACTGAGGGGAGGTTTGCCAAAGGATTGCAAAAAAACAGGATTGCAAAAAAACCGAAGGATTGCAAAAAAGGATTGCAAAAAGGATTGCAAAAAAACCGAAGGATTGCAATCCTTCGTTTTTTGCACAAAAATCTGTTTTTTTGCAATCCTTCGGTCTGTCCACCGCCGAGCTGAGACGACGGTAGTTCGCCTGAAGACAGTCGCGGTTCGCGAGTCGCGGCCTCGATCGGGCTGCCCTTCTCGAGGGTGGCCTCGCGAGAGCGCTGCGCGAAGCTGGGGGGTTCTGGGCAAAAGGTTGCCTTTTCGTGGCCGGTCTGGGGAGTGTCTGAAATTGCTCGTCTCGAAGGGTGGTGACACCCTCACTTGATTGCGAAGGCCGTACGGCCAGTGCCGCCGACCCTGAAGGGAGACGACGACGACAACGGCGGCGGCGACGACGACGACGCTGACGTGGGCCAGAGTCATTAGGGATGCTTCTTGGGGTCTCTTTAACGGCCCTCGGGGGCCAAGAATTTGGGGGCCTCTTGGGAGTCTCGTCTGGCAGGGTGATGACCCCCTCACTTTACCCATCGGTCGTTGAAAGTAGGTATGCTTGGGTTCCCAGTTCCCACTCTACTTTGGCCGCCTTCCTACGTCAAGAGTCGAGTGGGTCTCCCTCTTCCCTCCCCTCCAGGAGGCGCGCCGAAACCCAATCTACCTCCAACGCCTTCCTCCTCCATGGCTCCGCCCACTTCCGACCGATGGGCATCGTGACATCCGAGGTGATCTCTCGGAGGCCCAAGGGGGACTTCTTGGGTCGGGGCGCCGGGCCCCGCGCGCGTGGCGCCGCGCGCGCCAGGGAGGGGGGGCCCGCGCCGAGCCGAGAGATCCGCGCGCGGGCCTCGGAAAAGGCAGGCTCGTGCCCACCTCTGCTCCTCCCAGGCGGGGTCCGAGTGGATCGGGTCGGGCGAAAGGGGGGGATTGGGAAAGGGGGGGTTACGAAATTTGCTGTGTGCAGCTGGTTTCGGCCTCACCGAGGGGCCCATTCCTCGATACATAGCCGCCTCCGGCGCGGGGAGGCGCCGGGAAAATCAGCTACGTGAGCTGATTCTCAAACCCCCCCTTTGCTATCCCCCCCTTTCGCCCGACCCGAGTGGATGGGGTCGGTGGATCGCGCCGTATCGCCGATGCATTGACGATGCGGCTCGATGTGGAGCCCGTGTTTCCCCATGCCGGCGTCGCCAATGCATCGCCGACGTCGCCGGTGCATCGGCGATGCATCGATCCGATGCATCGATCGGCGAGGCGGGGCGATCCTCCGACCCCATCTACTCGGACCCCATCTGGGAGGCCTCTACCTCCAGAGGCCGTTTTTCTCGGGGCTTCAGGAGGAGCAGGATGAGCAGATGAGGGGGGAGAAGATGGCCGAGGCAGAGGGAAAGGTCAGGTCAGGTCAGGTCAGGAAGTCTGCGATGAAGATCCTACCAGGAAAGAGAAAGAACAGAGGAAGGAGGAAGATCCAAAACGGGCCTGGTGCTGGGGCCGCAGACTCAGCGCAGGAGAGGAAGAGGAGGAGGATGGTGGTGGTGATGGTCGTGATGGCGGTGATGGTGATGGGTGCTTGGTGATGGTGATGGTGATGGTGACGACGACGACGACGACGACGACGACGACGACGACGACGACGACGGCGGCGGCGACGACGACGACGACGACGACGGCGACGACGACGACGACGGCGACGGCGTCGACGACGACGACGGCGACGACGGCGACGGCGACGGCGACGGCGACGGCGACGGCGACGGCGACGGCGACGGCGACGGCGGCGGCGGCGGCGGCGGCGTCGGCGGCGGCGATGGCGGCGACGACGGCGACGGCGACGTCGACGGCGACGGCGACGACGACGATGAGAAGGAGGAGGAAGGAGGGAGGAGGAGGAGGAGCAGGAGGAGGAGGAGCGGGAGGAGCAGGAGGAGAGCTCAAGGAGGCCCCGCCTCGCCATCGCGCGGGGCGCGCGAGGGGGGGACGGCCCTCGCGCCCGGGGACGAAGCCATGCGGCGGCCGCCGTGGCGCGCGGCGCTGGCCGTGCTGGCGAGCGGCGCGGCCGGGGGTGCGGGGGGCACCGGGGCCTCGGCGGCCGTGGCCTCGGCGGCCGGGGCCTCGGCGGCCGAGCCGGAGCCGTCGGGGCGCGGCGTCGCCGCGCTGCCCCGCGGCCGCGCGCGGCAGGGGCCTCGGCTGGGCGCCCTCGTGCGGCGCAACGAGCCGTTCGTGCTGCGGGGGCACCTCGGCCGCGAGAGCCTGGAGGCGTGGTCGCCCGAGGCGGTGCGGAGGCTCGCCGGGGACGTGGAGCTGGAGGTGCGCAGCGCGGGGTTCGCCGCCGCGGCGGGCGGGGCGAGCATCTTCCACGACCCCGCCGACCTCCGCGGCGGAGGCGCGGACAGCGGGCGCCACAGGGTGAACGTGACGGTCTCGGGCCTGTTCCAGAACTTGAGCCGCCTCGCGGCGGTCTCCAAGGAGATGGTCGACGGCGCGAGTGCCGACGCATGCGGCGCTGGATCTGCCGAGCTGCCAGGCGGCACCGCACTGTACGGGGCGCAGATCGATGTGGACGTCAGCCGCGCGCGCAGAGGGGGGTGGGGGGGGGACGGGGGAAGGCTTCTTAGAAGCACGCCTGCTCCTCAGAGGGCGCGGGGTCTGTAGATGTCGAGCCAGCGCCTTCTGAGAGGCAGCCTCCTCCTGAGGAGCCTTCCCCAGTCCCCCATATACCCCCCTGTGCGCGCCGCCAAGGACAGGCGCATCCCACAGCTCGCACAGATCGTGCCGCCCCTGGATGCCGAGCTGGCCGCGGCGCTCGGCCCCGCCTCGCCCACGGCGGCGTCCACCGTCTACATCGGCGCGGCGCGCCCGCGCTCGAAGCTGCACTACGACTCGAGGGAGAACCTGCTGTGCCTGGTGCACGGGGGCCACAAGGAGGTCCTGCTGGTGGACCCCCTGGTGGCCGCCGCGGTGCTCTACGTCAACCAGACCGAGCACGGCAATGCCTCGCCCGTCTCGCTGTTCGAGCTGCGGGAGAGAGGAGGCGAGCCCCCGCAGGAGTTCCCGTTGGCGCGGTACGCCGTTCCTTCTGCAGTCACGGTACGGGCGGGGGATTGCTTGTACATTCCCATCTATTGGTTCCACGAGGTGCTGGGATCGGCCGAGGTCACCATTTCCCTCAATTGGTGGAGGCAGCCAGACCCGGGCAAGAAGGACATTCTCGGCAGACTCCTCTGTGGCAGCCGCCACAAGCGGGCTGCCATGACGTGCTGAAAGCTGAAAGCAGTCTCGGCCTTGCAGAGGGTGGCGAGAACGAGGGCATACATGGCATGGTGTTCTTCGCCTTTGATTCGGTCTGTTGGCCAACCCCTGTCGTTTGTAACTGCCGACCATGCTGGCGAGATCAGTGCGCGCATCCTGGTCGCGAGCGCGATAAGCGCCCCATGTGGTGGGCTGCCATCAGCGGCTCAGCGTGGCAGCAGCCGTCGCGACGGGGGACGACCTCAACCTGAGTGAAATCTTGCGCAGCCACGTGCAGAAGGGGCGCGGCTCTCGAGGCTGTTCCCTTCTTGAGAAGCCCCCTCGCCTTCTGTCGGGCTGGCCCCCCAACCCTGATCCCCAACCTTGGCCCTGGAAGAGGGGGGGGGAGAGGGAGGAGGAGGAGGAGGAGGAGGAGGAGGAGGAGGAGGAGATAAAGGGGCACGCAGGGGGAGTGCAGTGACGAAAGACGGAGGAGGTAGGAGGGGGGCAGGAGGGCGGGTGAGACGACCTTACCGTGATGAACGCCAAGGGTAAACGAAATGATCGTTTGAGATGTTGGCGTATGTTTGCCATCCGTTGCGCTGTTCACAAATAAGGAAGGTAGTTTTTTGATCACAGTTTTTTTCACCCTAGCACTGGATGAGTAAGGAAGGAGGAGAGCGGAGGCGAGTGGGGGTGAGGCGTTTAGGTGCATTCGAGGGCACCAAACCATTAGCAGCAAGAGCAGCAGCAACAAAAAAAATATGAGTTTACATTTAAAAAAACGCAATAGCATGAAGGGATCGGCTCGGATCGGTTCGGTCTGGTTCTGCAGCCTTTTCGGTTTTGCTTGGCCAGTTCGGTTTGACACCGGTTCGGTTTCGGCCGGTTCGGTCTGGGTTTGGCACCGGTTCGGTTCGGTCCCGGTTTTCGCACGGTTCGGTCCCACCAGTTCGGTTCGGCTCGATTGGCGTTTTGGTTCGATTCGGTGAGACTGGTCTGGTTCTGTGCGATTAGCGGCGTTGGGCGCCCCGTCCGCTTAAGCGACGGGCCAGCTTGAACAAAAAAAGAAGAGGAGGAGGAGGAGGAGGAGGTGGACGAAGAAGAGGAAGAGGACGGGGGAGAAGCAGAGAGGAAGGAACGAGGAGCACGGCCGCTGCCCCGCGGCGCCCAGCGGCGAGGTGCCCGGCCGCGGCGCCCGGCGTCGTCGTCGTCGTTCGTCGTCGTTGTCGTCGTCGTCGCTGCGGTCGTCGTCGTCGTCGTCGTCCCCCTCGTCGCTGTCGCCTTCGTCGTCGTCGCCGGCGTCGTCGCTGTCGTCGAGGTGGGGCCTGGCGCCGTCGAGGCAGGGCCTGACCTCGCGACCCCTTCCTTCCTTCGGCTCGTCTCCGTGGCCACGGGGGGGGGGGCACGGGCGGGGTCGCCACGGGGGGGCCAGCGTTTTGACCAGGACATCGATGTGGATCCAGCCTCGGCGACAAAGGGCCCTCGGGAAAAGCGAGAGCGAGCCCAGAGAGCGGCCCAGAGAGCCACGCGAAACGTCGCCGCCCCGCCGCCCCCAGCGTCCGCCGCCGCCGCCGTCGAGGAGGACCAAGGTTCGAGGTTCGGGGTTCGGCCTCCGTGGCTCGGGTGCCTCTGTCGACGCCTTGAGTTCTCCCGGGGCCTCCAGTGCGCCCCCCCCCCGTGGCCGCTCCGCCTCGAAAGGGTTGCCCCCGCCTCCCTCTCCAGAGAGGGCCGCCGACGACGACGGGGGGGGACTTCCCAAAGTGGCCCCTGAGGGGGCCCCGAGGGGCCCGCCGAAGGGGCGCCGCCACGAGGAGGGGGGGGGGGGCGGCCGCGGGGAGGGTCGCCGCGCGGGGGTCGCCACGGGGAGCATCGCCGCCGGGGGGGGTCGACCACGGGGCGGGCCGCCGCGGAGGGGGTCGCCGCGAGGGTGGGTCGCCGCGGGGGTTGTCTCCACGGGGGGGTTCGCCACGAGGGAGGGGCCGGTGAACTGCTGGTGGTGTGGTTCCCGCAGAAACTTTGGCACCCCGGCGGCGGCTCCCGGCTCTCGCGCGGGGTGGCCGCCCAAGGGGCCCGCCCTCCCGCGGTCCGCCGCGGACCCCCGCCCCCCTCCACTCCGCCGCCGCCGCGCCGGGGCCGCTGCGCCATCGAGGGGTGTCGCCCCGGGCGGGGCCACTTCCCTCATATTCCCTTCGGTTTTTCCCCGCGGCGACCCGCCCCGACCTGCCCCGACCCTCCCCGACGCACCCCCTTGTCCCGACCCGCCCGCCCCGACCTGCCCCGAACTGCTCCGACCTGCCGCGTCGTGCTCACAGGTTCGTCATGGCCATCGTCGTCACCACTTGCACATCTTGGCTCAAGCTTTGGCACTGGCTGCCTCAAGCCTCGTCGTTATCCTGGGGCGACGGTCCCTCGCTTCCAGGGGCGCCCCCCCACCGGCGCCATGGGACCCCCCCCGAAAGCACCTGTTCACGACTTGTTCCATCCTGTCTGGGACGGCAATAGCAGGGATCGGATCTGCAAATTATGCTACCCAGAGGAACCACCACTGCCGGAGGTGAGGGGTATTGACGTTCGGGGCCAGTTGTTGTCCGCTCACTGCGACGGCGTGGTCCAAGTGCGGCGCAGCTCCACGTCTGCCATGCGGGCGCACGCGCTGCTCCACGTGAAGCAGGGGCATACTGATGCGCCCGATTGGCTGGCAGCCCCCAAACCGTTGATGCCGGACTGCGGGAGAGCCCAGCCTGAGTACTCAGTCTTGGCTTCGCAGTGGGTGCGCACCGTGGTGCTGCAGAGCATGTGCGCCCTGAGACTGGCCGACGACTGTCGGCGCGTCATGTCGGCGTTCTTTGGACGCCGAGGGCACAAGGGCATCAAGAAAGAATTGACGTTCCAGGTCGCAGCTCCCAAAGCCGAGGTGACAGAGATTTTGAAGGAAGTGAAGCTCCAAGGCTGCAAGTTTTCGGTCTCGCTAGACGGCTGGAAGACCAAGACCATCACACCGATACGTTTTACGGTGGTGGTCGCCGGTTGGGCGTCCCCCACCTGAACCAGCACAGCGTGTGCATCGGGGTCAAGCGCATGCCCGCAAGTAGGGACTGGGACGCATACGCCGCCGTGTTCCGTGGATGCTTCCAGGACTCCGGTTTCGACGTGGCAGACGTGATCGACAATTTTCGGCCATTTTCGGCCGCCAATTGTCAGGAGGAAAAGAAACACACAGACACAATTAATCTTCGTTTCCTCAGAAAATATGGGAAAATATGGGAAGCGGTGGGGAAGACAAAAACCCAGAAAATATGGGAAAGTATGGGGAATCTTTTTATTTGTGTGTATTGATTTGTGTGTTCCAGGGCCCCTTCAGACGTGATCGACAATTTTCGGCCACTTTCGGCCGCCAGTTGGCCGTCCACGACCACAAGACACGACTCGGGATGCCGAGCCGGTCCTGGGGCCGCCGACGGCGGCGCGGACGACGACGAGGACGAGGACGACGTGGACGAGGACGAGGACGACGAGGGCGAGGACGACGACGAAGACGAGGACGATGAGGAGGAGGACGAGGACGAGGACGAGGAAGACGTGGACGAGGACGACGACGAAGACGACCATACCGAGGAGGACGACGAGGACGAAGACGAGGAGGAGGAGGAGGAGGAGGAGGACGACGACGACGACGAGAACAACGAGGCCGAGGAGGACGACGAGGACGAGGCCGAGGACGAGGGCGACGAGGCCGAGGAGGCCGACGAGGTGGGCCGCCAGCCCTCGCAGTCCGCCGTCGCCGTCGCCGTCGTCGTAGGCCGTCGTCGGTCAGCGTCGTCGTCGGCGGCTGGCGGCTGGCGGCGGCAAAGGGAGGCTTGCCATGGGGGGGGTCGCCACGGGGGGGGGGGGGGGGGGAACCATTGGGGGGGGACCGCGTGGGCGGTGGCCACGGGCGGGGGGTCGCCAAAGAGAGGGGGAGGGGTCCTCCTCCCCTCCTCCTCCTCCTCCCTCTCCTCTCCTCCTCCTCCTCCTCCTCCTCCTCCTCCTCCTCCTCCTCCTCCTCCTCCTCCTCCTCCTCCTCCTCCTCCTCCTCCTCCTCCTCCTCCTCGTTGCCGCAGCCGCTTTGGCTCAAGATGCCTGGTTCCCTTGGGGCCAAAACGGATACCGCTAGTCCGCGGCTAGATCTCGAGGTTCTCCGCCTTCACTGCAGGGGTTGGGCGCCTGCACCAGTCTCATCCTTTCTCACGGAGGTCCCTCTGTCGAGGGGTTCATTTGCCTCCGCTCACGGTCATTCATGGCCCAAGATGGCTGGCACAGCAGTGGTGGGAAGGCTCGTCAGCAGTACCACGACCCGTGCCCGCACTGCAGGTACCGCTGGAACTTCAAGAACAACCACTGGTGCTACCAGTGCACGGGGGCCCTGGTGTCGCAGCCTGATGGTTCGAAGCGGCCGCTTGGGCAGTGGGCGTTTGGGCTTCCGCAGTTCTCGAGCTCGCCGTTCCATGTTCAGCCTGCTGGGTCTCCCTTCACCGACCCGACGCCGGCGCAGGCGGCTGCGGCAGCCGCCACGGGCCCAGGCAAAGGTCGTGGTAAGAAGGGTGCTCCTCCGCCACCTCGGGGGAAGGCCAAGGCGAAAGCCGCCTCCTCCGCGGGCCCAGGGCTGGTACCCGTACGGTGGCGCATCAGCCCCACCCGAGCCAGGCGATCCGATGGCGGCCCTGCGGGCCAAGCTTGGCGGCGACGGCGCGGAGGCGCTGGCAGCAGCGGAGGCGCTCCTCGCCAAGAAGGAGGCCCCGCCTCCTGCTGCACCGCGGCAGCCGCTCCTTGAGGAGGACGTCTCCACCAAGGGGGTGGCGTACCGTCGTGCAAAGTCATGGCTCGAGCGCTGCCCCCTCAAAGTCCTGGAGGGGGAGGCCTGGCTTCAGGAGGCGCGGGATGCTGAGGACCTTGCGGTCACGGCGGCGGTCGAGGCCAAGCGCTCGTGGGAGGAAGCCTGCGCGAAGCAGCTCCCGCAGCCAGTGGCGGCGCCACCCGCTGCTGCAGGGGCA